GCGGGTCTCGAACCCGCAGGCTCAGGCAATCCACTCACCTCAGCCTCCCAAAGGCGTGGGATTACAGGCTGAGCCACCGAGCCCGGCTCCTTTTTTTAATTTTTGAGTTGGGGTTTTACTCTGTTGCCCAGACTGGAGTGCAGTAGCGTGATCACAGCTCACCACAGTCTCGACCTCCTGGGCTCAGGTGATCCTTCCTCCTCAGCCTTCCATGTAGCTAGATGCACACCACCACAGTAGTAGATGGACACCACCACACCCGGCTAGTCTTTGTTAGTTATTGTAGAGACAAGGTTCTCACTAAATTGCCCAAGCTGGTCTTGAACCCCTGGGCTCAGGCAATTCTCTTGCCTTGGCCTCCCAAAGGGCTGGAATAACAGGCTGAGCCACTGTGCCCGGCCCTAATTCTTTGATTTATTGAGGTGTCACCCAGGCTGCTCTCGAACCCCTGAACTCAAGTCTCTTGCCTTTGCCCCCCAAAGTGCTGGGATTACAAGTGTGAGTCACCTCACCTGGCCGTGAGATACTGCTTTTAATTCTTTTGGATGTATACCCAGAGGTGGGATTGCTGGATGATATGCAGTGCTATTTTTAATTTTTTCAGGCACTGTTTTCCATAGCAGCTATACCGTTTTACATTCCTGCTAACTGCACAAGGGTTCAAGTTTCTACACATTCTTGCCAATTTTTTTTTTTTAAATAGTAGCCATCCTAATGGCCATCTTATTGTGGTTTTGATTTGCATTTCCTTGATGATTAGTGATTTTGAACATTTTTTTCTATGCCTTTTGGCCATTTGGATATCATCTTATAATGTCTATATAAGCCCTTTGCCCATTTAAAAAATAGTTGAGTTTTTTGGTTGTTGAGTTGTAGGAGTTCTTTATATATTCTGGATATTAACCCTTATCAGACATAATGATTTGCATTTGCTATATATCTTAGTTATTTTCTGAGTGTTGTTCTAGGGATTACATCGCAATCTACTTGAGATTAATACTAACTTAATTCTGGCAAAATATTGAAACTTGTGATTTGCAGCGCTCCATTTTTCTTTCCCCTTTATGTGATTGTCATATATATTGCATTTATATATGCTGTAAATTCCCCAATACAGTGGTATACTTACTGTTTTATGCGATCTTACGTCTTTTTACGAAGTTGAAGAGAACACAGTGTTTCATATTGGCCTGTGCATTCACCTTTCCCCAGGGCCTTTTCATTTCTTTGTGTGGATTTGAATGACCATCTGGGATCATTTCTTCTCGGGCTGAGTGACTGTAAAGCAGGCCTGCTAGCAGTGAAATTCTCTTTTTAGTGGGAATGTCTTCATTTCACCTTTACTTGTTTTTGGGATTGGTTGGCTGGATATAGGATACTTGTTTGACTTTTTTTCTTGTGGTACTTTGAGTATACCAGCCCACTGTTACCTGGGTCCACTGTTTCGGATGAGGCCCCAGTACTTGTTTTGTTATTCCTCTGATTGTTTTTCTCTAGCTTCTTTTAAGATTTTATCTTTCTACAGTTTGACTGTGATATAGCTAGGGATAGATCTTTTTGTGTTTATCCTACTTGAGATTTATTAAGTTTCTTGAATCTGCAGGTTGTTTTCCAATCAAATTTGGGGATTTTTTGGCCACTATTTCTTCAAATGTATTTTTCTGTTCCTTTCTCTCTCTCTTCTGGCAACCCCATTATACATATATTGGTATGCCCAGTTTTGCTGCACAGGGGTCTGAGGCTCTGTTCATTTTTCATTCTTTTCTCTCCCCATTCTTTACACTGGTGAATTCTATTGCTCTATAACTTCAATTTTACAGGTTTTGTGTGTTTGTTTTGCTTTCTCAAATCTACTGTTTAGTCCCTCTAATTTTCCAGAATTTCCTTTTTTTGGGGGGGGGGGGTTGGAGTCTCACGCTGTCGCCCAGACTGGAGTGCAGTGGCTGCTCCCGGCTACCGCAGCCTCGACCTGCTGGGCTCCAGCGATCCTTCCGCCTCAGCCTTCCGAGTAGCAGAATTTCTTTTTTAAAAATTGTGATAAGTATACACAGAATTTACTATTTTAAGTGCATAGTTCAGTGTATGAAGAACATTCACATTACTGTACAGTTATCACCACTCTTCATCTTCAAAAACATTTTCATCACCCTAAACTGAAACTCCACCCACTAAATGGTAACTCAATTTTGTCCTCCCCTCAGTCCCTGTAACCATTGTTCTACTTTGTGAATCTGACAATTTCAGATACCTATTATATATAAGTAGAATCATACACTATTTGCTCTTTTGTGTCTTTTTTAAATTTTGAGTTGGAGTCACTCTGTCTCCCAGGCTAGAATGCAGTGGCATGCTCACAGCCACTGCAGCCTCAACCTCCTGGGCTCGGGTGATCCTTCCACCTCAGCCTTCCAAGTAGCTGGAATCACAGGTGCATACCACCACACCTGGCTTTCTCTCTGTCTTATTTCACTTAGCATAATGTCTTCAAGGTTTATCCATATTATAATATCAGAATTTCATTCAGAAATTACTTTTAAAAATAATTTCTGGCCAGGCTGGGTGGCTCAGCCTGTAATCCCAGCACTTTGGGAGGTCGAGGCGAGTAGTAGCAGAGAGTGCCTGAGCCACAGGTTTGAAACCAGCTCGGGCGACTTGGTGAGACCTCATCTCTACAATAAAATAACAAAAAATTAGCTGGGCGTGGTAGTGCACACTTGTAGGTCTGGCTACTTGGAAGGCTGAGGCAGAAAGATCGCCAGAGCCCAGCAGGTCGACGCTGGGATGACTGTGAGTGTGCCACTGCACTCTAGCCTGGGTGACAGAGTGAGACTCCAACTCAAAAATAACAATAATTTCCATTGCTGTGTTGTGATTCTCTATTGGTTAACTCATTGTCACATACATTTCTTTAATTCTGTTTTTGTTTGTTTGTTTTTGAGTTGGAGTCTTACTCTGTCGCCCAGACTGGAGTGC